TGTTCCACACAATCATTGAGATTGTAGCAGCTCTTCTGAATGGCAATAACAGCATGGTCACATGGGAATCCGTTGATTTGCCATTTGAAGCAAGAACATGTACGCCTCGCAACATCAACAGTAGCAGATGGTATTGAATGAACTTCAAACACATCGTCATTGGCTTTGCTAACTTGCCAAGACCTGTTGTCATTGAACGAATCCATAAGCCTTGTTTCGAATGTAGGACAAATAAGCTCATTCCATTTGTTTACTTGGTCACATCGTGCAGACATTTGCCGCATCAACTGAGTACGAATTGTGTCCATTATTTGAGTGATAGGAAGATTACGTGCTTCTTTAATCCAGTTATTAAATGACTCCGCTGCATTGGATGTCATCTCTCCATAACGCATGCTCCTGCACAACATTACAAACATTGTACAATACAGAATTTAATAGGTCTGAACATTCAGGTTGACAGATGTGAACATTAACATAATTTCCAGTGAACATTATATGCTTATTATATTGTCAACTTAAATGATAGACAGATGTGAATGTTAACAACAACAAAATATGACAGGTGTCAACATTCAAATATGTAATACATTGCATGACTGTTTGACAAATTAACAGATGTGAACATTCACATCATTTACACCAGTCATCTTTAGCAGATGTGAACATTCACATCATTTACATTGAACATGAAACACAATTAGAAGATTATTACCATTCTAAACTGAAAATTCACATCGCTACCATTATAGACTTCACAAATGGAACACCTTAGGAAACTATTATTACCTGAAGTACGAATTTGCCCAGTGCTCAGGTGCCCAGTCCTTGAAAAAATTATGAGCTCGTTGTTTACCCTCATCTTTTAATTTTGCAAGCTTTTCATGGAACTCTACCACAGTTAGCTCATAAGCACAGTCACCCAAACTACTTACTAGGTGATCCCTGAATCCATTATCAATTCCTTTCATCCGGTCTTTTAAATTGCTCTTCAAATGTTGTAAGCAATAACCGTGATGAGCCGATGGGAACACCTTTGGCATAGCTTCTAACAGACCAAGATTACGATCCGAAATAAAAGTAATCTGGCGCTTACCATCAACAACCTTCCCAAGTTCATGCAAGAACCACGACTAATTGGCCGTGGTCTCTAAATCAACAATCGCAAATGCAACAGGAAACAGACCTACAACACAACACCAATACACAACTATTCACAATATTCCAAAGTGAATAGAAAACAGTATAAACGAAACAGATCATGTGAATGTTTATATCTACATTGCCCTATTACTATTGTTATTTTTGGATTCGGGTTCGTAAACATCAACGATGTGAACATGCACATTAACGACCATTAATAATTCATTGTTGATTGTTGAGTCATTGATAATGTGAACATTCACAATAATGTTCATTAATGGATCAACTGACATTAGTATATACTGATGTGAACATTCACATCAGCGTATATTAATGTGAATGTTCACATTACTGTCATTAGTAGACACAGATGTGAACATTCACATTAGTACATACTAATGTCAATGTTTACATTACTTATAATTTCTCAATCATTCATTTGTCAAGACTATGCTGCAGAGAATGAATATCGACATGAATAGACAGCTAAAAAAAATACTAACCATTGTTTCTGTCTTTTGCCGTTGCCGCAAGTAGCTGACCTTTGTACTTTCCTTTGAGGAATGTTCCATCCAGGAATAATAAAGGCCGACAAGAATTGAAGCCAGAAATACACGCAGTGAATGACACAAAGAAACGACAAAACTGTTGACTACTAGCATCATAGTCAATATTGACGTAACTCCCCGGATTGTACCGTATCATAGCATCCGAATACCACCGCAGCTGGTCAAACGATAATGAGTGATCTCCATGAATACTAGCCTTTGCTTTCTTCACAGCCAACCATACGACATGGTAACTCACATCTAGCCCATAATCCATCTTCAAAATAGTCACCACCTCACACGGCCGAGTCAACGGCTTGTCCCTTACAATTTCAGATATGGTACTCGACACTAAATCCGAACTAACTCACGGATTCTTCCATGTTCGGACATCCGTACGACAACTATGCACATCATTAAACCTCTTGATGTAGAAAAAATATTTGCTCGTTGTGCTCTACAATGTATAGCCCACAAGCAGCCTCTCTTCTCACGCATCGCACACACAGCAGTAACTCTTGTTGTCTCGTTCTTGACATACGTAAACTGAAACCCACATTGGATGGCATACTTACATAAAACCTCACGAAATTTTTGTGCACCTCCAACAAACCGTTGTCCCACATGCGTAATACCATTTTCCCAAGGGGCTGACAACAACACCTTCTCCTTATGGTGGCAAAATCTCCGTAGCGCATCAATATCTTCCTCAACCCCCACACGCAGCGATCCCGAGCTACTTGACTGACCAATATCACTTTTCAACTTAACCACAACTTCTACATGTTGTACCCCCATTGATTTAGCAAGCAGTAACATGTTCTGAAATTTTTCCTCATTGTCCAAATCACATCTATTAATCTCAGGTAACCGACAGAACAATGAAATAGAACCAGCAGACAACTTCCCCCATTTTCACACAAATAGTCTACCAAACGCGAATAACACAATGCGCGGGCAACATTTATTACAGTGGTACTGCAACCATATATACACACTAACATCATAAAGGTATCCATCTCCTGTAAAAATACAACAACACAACAATCAACAATAATCCAAACCGATATGAAAATTCACATTGTGCAAAAATTAGATGAATACGTGTACAGTTCAAGTGTTACATCCATAATTCAAATTAACAAGATGTGAATATTCACATTGATACATATACTCTGAATTATATCACCCACACAAAGTCTCATTAAGCAAACATCAAAGTAAAGTGAGAACATCCACATTATTCACATAATATTACCACGATGTAAACATTTACATTGCCACATATACTCTGAATTATATCATCCACACAGAGCCTCATTAAGCAAACATCAAAGTAAAATGCAAACATCCACATTCTTCACGTAATACTAACATGATGTAAACATTCACATTGTTCCACAAACTCTGAATTATAGCAGATTCACATTCATCACTAATCTGATGACCTCCCCTCCACAAGACCACGATGTAAACATTCACATTGATCTATAAACTCTGAATTATATCACTCACACAGAGCCTCATTATGGATACATCAAAGTAAAAGGAATATTATAACATTCTTCACATAATCTGAATGACCTCCCCTCCACAGGACCACGTATGATGCATGTAATTGAAAAACCAGAGCATCCGATTCATAGCAATCAAAAAACAGAGCATCTGATCCATCCTAGAAATCAAAACATAAAGTGAACATATATTCATAACCAAAATGATACTAACCTTAATTATGCAATTCTACAATTGTCCAGAAACTCGAAAACAACCGCTTTGAAGTAGTTATACTCTAGAAAATGCGAGAACCGAACAATATGAAATTCGTCGTCTTCATTTGAAAATCACCGAACCAGAGCAACAATGAAACTCTAGCACATCAAAGCCTTAGAACGATAGAACGATAGCATGCAAGATAGAAACGTATCCATTTGAATTAGAATGATAAAAACTGCCAAAACTGAATCACGAAATCACAGGAACGTGTTATGTATTAACACAGTGTGTGTATATATATAAAGGCATAATAGTCCATGTAAAAATATAAAATTAGAAAAATGGACTTTATGGAATAAAAAGAAAAGTATATGGGACTAATCAGGTTATAATATTCCTTTGTGAACTTAATGGGTTATAACAACTCTAAGATGGATTTATTAATAAAAATCCCCAAAAAGAATGAGGTGATTGTCATTATTTTTACTTAGGAAAAAAAAATGTTTGAGACTTTTAAAAAAAAAATTCAATCTAATCCATGCGACATAATGGTCATGTTTGATTCACAAAATTAATAGTGAAGTATTAATAATCCTATTAAATTAGTGTGGTATTCACTATCCAATTGGATTAATATCAATTGGATCATTACTAATAATCCTACAAATTTGTTGGATTAATTATCCATTGGATTAATTATCCTAAACCAAAATGTTAAAACAAACATAGAATAATTGGACCCACGGATTAATAATCCCAATCTCATGCTCTAATCCACCCAATCAAACATGCCCAATAAGTATTATTTTAATTTGTTTTATCATGTAGAATCTCACTCCCATATGTTATGTTTGATTGAAGGATATAATGAGAGAAATAGAAAGGAAAAAGGAAATGTAATCTCACTTTATTTGATTATAATGAAAAATATAAGGAAAATACAATCTCACTTTTCATTCTTTGAGTTCCATTAAACTTTTTTTTTTTTCCCATTTCTTAACTTCACCAAATATAACTTGAAATTTAAATCTTATCGATTCTTTCTTATTATTATTTTTTTATTATTTCTCTTTCTCTTTCTATTTTTCTCGTTAAATTCTCTAATCAATTACAATCTTACCATATCATTACAGGAGAAATTAAAAATTTAAATTGTGAAACTCTAGTATTACTTACCCCCACAATAGTCTTACTTTATCGCTAAAACTGAACTACTTGTCACACAAGACTTTCTACTTACTTTTAATGACCCTATATACTACCGAACTAGTCGTATTTGCTACACAATATGACTACGCTTATCATTTTTTATTTTTGCGATAGGATACCAAAATCATTAATTTTGTACCGAATCAACCCTCAAAAAGCCAAAAAAAAAGAAAAAGAAAAAGGCAAATTGACACTTATACCCTTGCACATTTGTTGCTGCGAGAATGACCGACGAAAGCAAAACTAACTCCACCTTGTAGCTTGTTCCCATAAATCATCAAACCACAACCATCCTTCTCTAAACTTCAAATTATCACCTACATTCACATTCCACTTTCTCTCTCCACATTTCTCTCTCTCTAAAACTTTTTCTATATATACCACCCTTTCTTCCTCCCATTGATCACATCATCACAAACCTATACTCTCTCTCTCTCATGGCTCCAAGCTTGAGCAAAGTTGCCCTAGTAGAACCAATGGAGGTTGAGGATGGTGAAGTACCCTTATCAATCACCCTGGAAGGATCAAATTTTTTTGCTAATGGCCATCCAATTCTCACTCAAGTCCCTCCCAACATTGTAGCCACACCCTCTCCATTCATCTCCAAAGACCCGACTCAAAACATGGTCGGTTGCTTCGTCGGGTTCAACGCGGCCAAGCCGCAGAGTCGCCACGTGGCGGCCATCGGCAAGCTCAGGGACATCCGGTTCATGAGCATATTCCGGTTCAAGGTCTGGTGGACCACCCTCTGGGTCGGGCGAAGCGGCAAAGACCTGGAATATGAGACCCAGATGGTCCTGCTTGATAAGTCCAGCTCCACCACCATCTCGGGTCGAACCCGACCCTATGTTTTGCTACTTCCAATCGTTGAAGGACCTTTCAGGGCTTCACTCCAACCAGGCATGTCCCCTTACCTATGAAACTTGATTCTTAAGGATCTGTTTGGTTACTGTTTTTTTTAGCCACTTTCTACTATTTAAGTCAAAAAAAATTTGGCCGTTCGTTTTAAGTTTTATTTAGCTGTTAAACGAATGAGATCCGCTTCTGTTTAGTTTGTTAAAAATTCAAGATTAATTTGTTAAGTAAATAAATTAAATTTAAATGTATTTTAAAATTCATTAAGTTTACAAAATAAATCTAAACAACTTACTAACTTCACTCAGTGTCAACAATATGCATTATTGAGTTCGGTAACTTAAAACTTGTTTTAGATCAATTTAAAAAGGAAATAAGTTAAATTAGAATATATTTTAAAATTCGTTAGGTTATTAAGTTAAGTTTAAGTAATTTATTACATAGGCCCTGTTTGGTAGGACTTATTTCTAGCTTATTTCAGTTTTTATCTTAATTTAAGTTATTTTGATGTGTTTGGTTCAGCTTAACAATACAGCTTATAATTTTTTGTAAGTCACAAATCAACTTATTCTTTGAGTGGGGGATGAGAAGCTTGATTTATAAGTCAAAAATCAGCTTATGTTCATAGTTATATATAAACTATAAGCTGTTAGGTTATAAGTTATAATCACTTTTTCACAGCTCTACCAAACGGAGCCATAATTTGTTTGTGACCTTATATTTAGATGACAGTTGGAAAAAAAATGTAATTTTTAACTTGATTTTTTAAAAAACCACAATATGTCTGATTTTATTTTATCTGTAATAAAAAATTAAATTTGTATTATTATTATTATTTACTTTTTGATAATTTATTAAATTTTACTTTTCTTTAAATTTTTATTTAAAAAATTATTTTTTTATATTGATATAATTTCTTTTCTTGAATAAATAATAAATTTTTTCAAAAAAAAAAAAAAACAGGGGATGATGATGACATGGACATGTGCGTGGAGAGTGGGTCCACCAAAGTCCTTGGCGCCAGCTTCCGCAGCTGCATGTACATGCACGTAGGACACGACCCATACCGATTAATCAAGGACGCCATGAAGGTCCTAAGGGTTCATTTAGGCACCTTCAAACTCCTCGAAGAAAAGTCCCTCCCAGGCATAGTAGACAAGTTCGGTTGGTGCACATGGGACGCATTTTACCTTAAGGTACACCCTCAAGGCATTTGGGAAGGTGTGAAAGGCCTAGTAGAGGGCGGGTGTCCTCCAGGTCTAGTCCTAATCGACGATGGTTGGCAGTCCATCGCACACGATGAGGACCCCATCAGTGATCAAGAAGGGATGAATCGGACGGCTGCTGGTGAACAAATGCCATGTAGGTTGATCAAATTTGAAGAGAATTACAAGTTTAGGGACTATGTGAGTCCTAGAGTGGGGTCCAATAAGGGGATGGGTGCCTTTGTGAAGGATCTTAAAGGGGTGTTTGGGAGTGTGGAATATGTGTATGTGTGGCATGCACTTTGTGGGTATTGGGGAGGGGTTAGGCCAGGTGTCCTAAATATGCCTGCGTGTAGGGTAGTGGAACCCAAGTTATCCGAAGGGTTGGAGATGACGATGGAAGATCTAGCGGTGGATAAGATTGTCAACAATGGGGTTGGGTTCGTCCCGCCGGAGATTGTTGATCGCATGTACGAGGGGCTTCACTCGCATCTTGAGTCTGCCGGGATTGATGGTGTTAAGGTAGATGTCATACATGTGAGTATTGCTCTCTCTTGGAGAAGTGTTTTGTTACTTTTTTTTGACATTGTTTGGACACGTGTTTGCTTGTTGTGCATTTGGCCGTTTGCCTGTTCATGCATAAGGATATTTATGACATTTTATTTTTTAAAAATAATTCACTTTGCTTGGTTTCCATTTTTTAAAAACAGTTTTCAGAAAATTCTACACTCTTATTTTTCGTATTTTTTTATTTTTACTGAATTTTAAAAATATTTTATGTAATTTTTTTACTTTTTAGACACACCTAACATAAATACACCTAAAAAGTAAAAAAATTGTAAAAAAAATCTTTTAAAAATTCACTAAATACCAAAAATACAAAAAAAAAAAGAATTTAGTACATTTTTTGTATTTTTATGTATTTCTTAATTTTTTAAAATATTTTTTCACACTTTTTTTACTTTTTAGACACATCTAAGTAAGGTGTATCTAAAAAAGTAAAAAAAATGTTTAAAATTTTAAAAATATTCACTAAAAATAAAAAACACGAAAATTAAAAAATTCAAATTTCAAAAAACTTAATCCAAAAAACTCAAACCAAACACAGTGATTACTATTTATTTTGATAATCTAAATCATTTATTTTATAAATTGTTTTGAGATGATTATTTATGCAAAAAGAGTTGGCTTTTTGGTGCTGTTTGGGTTTGTATGTTTGACCATAGATCTTGTTTCGATAATTAAAATCATTCATTTTATTAGTTACATCGTGTATATATTATAGAAAAAATTAAATTAATTCGATAATTATAACCTATTAAATTTATAGAGTTTGTTATATAAAAAAAATGTACAATAAGTGTGATTTTAAAAATAAATCATTTATTTATTTTTTAGTAACAAACATTTAAATTAAATAGTTTATGATTAGCAAATAGATTTAGTTTTTTTGATAAATGATATACACGAATAACCTACCAAATGAACATTTGAATAATTTAAACGGGACGGTATAGATCCCATGGGCCTAACAACAACCTATAGTCCATATATGGAAGCTAACTAGTATATGCAAAAAATTAAATTGATCAATAAATTATAACTATGTGATCGAATCATATTTACCTTTGAAAAAAATATACAAATTATTTTAAAAATCATATTTGACATTGCCAAAATGACAAACCTACCCAAGATGCTCTCATCAAGTAACATATAAATAAAAGGAAAAATGAAAAAATTATATTCACTTATTTTTTAGGTTTTCTTTATAAGTTGATTTTCTTTTCTAGATTATTTTTTTTAGTAACATTTTTAAATCATGTCGATTTTATTCTTTTGATCTGTCTCGTGACCTTGAACTTTAAAATAAAATTTAAAAAAATTATTATTTTTTTTTTTATAAAGAAATGTTCATTACAGACCAAATAAGCCAACTTTTTAAAGGTTTTTTGGACAAAAATTTATTCATTTTTGTCTTTACGAATTTCAATATCATCTAATCGAGATAAATTTTGAACTAAAATTATAAATTATTTACCCATGTTTCCAAATATTAGATGCTTTAGTCTAGTGGAAAATATTATCACCTTCAACAATGATGCATAAAAATTAGAGACCAATATCAATTTGGGAATAATGTGCAGATCCTGGAAATGGTAGCTGAGGAATATGGTGGTAGGGTGGAGCTAGCAAAAGCTTATTACAAGGCCTTAACTGAATCAGTGAGGAAACATTTCAAAGGGAATGGTGTCATTGCTAGCATGGAACATTGCAATGACTTTATGTACCTCGGCACCGAGGCCATCTCTCTCGGACGTGTAGGTCTGTATCGATTCAAATTTCATGTATCATTATCTTGAGAAATTTTACTGAGATTGGTGTTTGGTTGATGGGAAAATGATGGAAATGAATGAAAATTTGATTTCTGTGTTATCGAGGGATTTAATTAGTTATAGTTCAACAATGATAGGAGACCTAAAATTATTCACAGAAAAGTATACGAATTATATTATATTCATTTTAAATGGGATTCACACTCTACTAGTGCACAAACAGTAACTGCATTTATTCTATGATTTTTTATTTTTTTGTGTTTGTAGCATTTGTTTTTCTAGTCTCCTTTAATTTAGGGTCAATTTGGTGAGGGTCTATCCAAACTCAACCCGAAAGTGTGGAGCTGTTTGCTCAAGCCCATCTTGAGTTTATTTCAAAGAGTTTGGGTTAGGCCTAAGCCCATCTAGTTGAGCATAAGCTACTATTTCTTACTTGTTACTTCTCTTATTGGCACTGAATTGTTCTCTGTCAATGCATATAGGTGATGATTTTTGGTGCATTGATCCATCCGGTGATCCGAACGGGACATTTTGGCTGCAAGGTTGTCACATGGTGCATTGTGCCTACAATAGCTTGTGGATGGGAAATTTCATACACCCTGATTGGGACATGTTCCAATCTACTCATCCTTGTGCCGAGTTTCATGCCGCGTCTCGAGCCATTTCTGGTGGGCCCATTTACATAAGTGACTCGGTCGGGAAGCACGACTTCCGGCTGCTCAAGAGCCTGGTGTTGCCTGACGGGTCAATCTTACGCTGCCAATATTATGCACTTCCCACTAGAGATTGCCTATTTGAAGATCCATTACATGACAGTAAAACCATGCTCAAGATTTGGAACCTCAACAAGGTAATATACTTGTAAGTTGTACATCTCTAGCATCATTGAAGCATATGAATTGAGTAGCATTTATTTATTTATGTCTTGTTTCTTAATAGAAGGATTCTTTATAAAGTTAAGATGAAATTGAGCTGAAATAGTTGAAATTAGGGTTCTAGTTTTGCAATTTAAGTTTTAGATTTTTTGGGTCTTGCTTTTTAAGCACTTTGATGGTGTAATTGGGCATTCATTAAATTCAGACAAATATTTTTATGAATAATATCATTTAGTGAATGTTGGTTTAATTGGTTTAATGTAATTTAACTTGTAAAATAAATAAATAAATGACCCCGTGGAACAAAACTCTTGGAGTAATCACTGAGGCGTGAACTACTATTGATAAGGTTTATTTTTTACCATAACAGATTCTTTTTCTTCAAAATTTATGTTCCTTTGTCCCTGATGCACTGTTAGTTTAATTGGTTTAATGTAATTTAACTTGTAAAATAAATAAATAAATGACTCCGAGGAACAAAACTCTTGGAGTAATCACTGGGGCGTGAACTACTGTTGATAAGGTTTATTTTTTACGACAATGGATTTTTTTTCTTCAAAATTTATGTTCCTCTGTCTCCAATGCACTTTTTACCCACAAGATATTAAAATCTTGAGGCCTAATTGTATGACTAGAAGTGTATTGAAATAGGGTAACAAAAATTGTAAGAATAGAGGATTTCGTACCATTTTTTATAGTTCATTTGAGCCAATCTTCCAATCTAATTTTCTCTAATTTGAATCTACAATAGTTCACAGGAGTTTTAGGAGTTTTCAACTGCCAAGGAGGAGGATGGTGCCCAGAATCCAGAAAAAACAAGTGCGCAAGCGAATGTTCCCACACTGTGACCTGCTTGACCGGCCCTAAAGATGTCGAATGGGGCACTGGAAAAAACCCAATCCCCATTAAAGGAGTGGACACATATGTTGTCTACATGTTTCAACAAAAGAAACTCAAGCTGATGAAACCGTCCGAAGTCCTAGAAATCTCCCTTAAGCCATTCGACTACGAGCTTCTCACAATCTCTCCAATAAAGTTTTTACCAAGTAAATCGATTCAATTTGCTCCGATTGGATTGGTGAACATGCTCAACTCTAGTGGTGCAATTGATTTACTGGTCTACGATGATTTGGCTAATTCAACAAGAGTTGGAATAAAGGGTTCTGGGGAAATGAAAGCCTTTGCATCCGAAAAACCGTTATCGTGCCACATCAATGGTGTCGATGTTGATTTTAGTTACGATGATCATTTAGTCACGGTTCAAGTTCTGTGGCCTAATTCTTCAGGATTATCGGTAATTAAGTACTTGTTTTAACTCTTCAAGATACTTATCCAAAAAAAAACTCTTCAAGATTATCGGTAATTAAGTACTTGTTTTGAAGTTTAAAGAAGTGTTTCCTCTCATCCAAGATATGTAACCAATCTTGGTGAAACTGGTAAAGCATGTAGTGAAGTGTATTTTACCTAAACACAAAAAAGAAAACTATGTATCCTGTTTTTCAGTTCATCTGAATCGTTGAATTTCTTGATAATTTTTATTTTTTATATTGATAATATTTTTAACGGATTTTACAAAATGAACAATTGAGACCATGATAAAGTCTTCAGAGTGAGGCCCTTCGAAAGCCACGCTACACTATTTGTTGTGCCAATAGACTCCTTCAAAAAAAAAAAAAAAAAAAAAGTGATATGTCATTACTTTAAACCTTGGTCATCTATCATTATAAAATTTCCATTTTTGAAGGAAAAAATTGAAAGAAAAAAAAAAATTTATGTTAAATATAGGTAGATACATTTTTGCTATATAAAATAAAACAAAATTAAAAAACATATTAAATTTGATTAAGCTTATTTATATTTCAAAGCATACACACATTTATATGCAAATAGTTGCAATTTAAATATTTTAATTTTTTTTGTTACAATTATAAATGAAATTATTATTATTTTATCAGTGTATCTTTACAATTACATTAATTTAATACAATTACACTATAAGAAGTTGAGCAATGCTAAAGTTACCAGATAATTTACCAAAAAAATATTTGATAATTTTTTAATAATTATCTTGTGTCTCTAAACATTTTTTTTTTGGCGAAGAATTCAACATCAATGTGTCTTCTTCGTTTTGTTCTAAAAAAAAAATGTCTTCTTCGTATTAACGTCAATGTCTTCTCATGGAGAAGAAGAAATTTTAAATTTTAAATTTTTTATTTATAATTAGGTATTTGGGTCAGTTTATGCACACTTCGACTAATTTCAGGATCCACACAAAGCGCTCATTCATGTGAATCTGACAAATCTCGGGCATGGCCTATAAGCATGGCCTAAGGAATGGATTGTTTCTAATGAAAGTTGAACCTGAGACGTACATAGAGCACATTCTTAAGTTTTAAATTGCAGCTGATAGTCCAACCCCTTAAAGTTGAGTTAAAAAAAAAAAAAAATCATTCTTAGAGGTGGAAAATTATTAAAATCTCTATTACAATATCAAATCAAACAAAATCAAACCATATCTTAAGTCTTATCAAATAGGGTTAATTACACTATATGCCCTATAGTTTGGGACTTGTGTCATTTTGGTCCATGACTTTTCAATTGTGACACATTTGACCCTGAATTTTGAATCTTGTTCCAAATAAGGACAATTGAAAATATCATTAGATTTTTTAAGGGTAAGTTGTCAATTTGATAAAATATAAATTAATTTGACAAAAATAAATGTCAAAAATTATTTCTATCCACCAATGATAAAATTATGTAAAATTAATAAAAAATAATAAAAATTGCATGATTAAATTTTTAAAATTAATTTTACATGATCATCATCCAAACACATAATAAAAATTAATTTGGTAACAAAAATAAATAAATGTCTAAAAGATTTATCAATTTTACATAATTTTATTTTTAGTGGGTATAAATAATTTTTAAAAATTCAAAAATATTTGTTTGAAATTTATTTTTGTCAAATTAGTTTATATTTTATCAAATTGACAATTTTACCCTTGAAAAATCTAATAATATCTTCAATTGTCCTTATTTGGAATAAGATTCAAAATTCAGGATTAAATGTGTCATAATTGAAAAGTCAAGGACCAAAGTGACACAAGCCCCATATTATAGGGACTATTTATGTAATTTGCCCTATCAAATAAGATCGACTATATGAATCATTTTTCTGTACTTGAATGGAATCTTTGTTACAATCAACATAAAATAATCTCCCAACTTTAGACATAATTCATATGATTTTTATAATTTCATTTTCGATTAAAAAGTATGATTTCATTTTCGATTAAAAAGTAGATAAAAAAAAGTACTTATGTAATGGCTCACATGATCACTCTAATAAAATTAAAAAAAATTAAAATTAAAAGTTTCATCATTCAAGGTGAAAGGCCAAAGTAAACATCAGGTCTCGCTTATTAATATATTATTTTAATTAAAAATTATAATAAATTAACACATTATTATTTTTTTATTTTTTAAGAAAATTACAATTGAGTTAAAGTTTTTAAAATAAATTTTAAGTCGTTGATCTAGGTCGTCCATTGTTATACTTGTGGATACGTGTATAGATGGGATTAAAAGGAAGTCAGGCTCGGGCTCAGGTATGAGTGGCGTGAGTACTTTTGATTCTTTTACTGGATAGTGCGATACGCGTGTTGCGTTTCTGGTAGTTTGCGTGGTAATAAAGTAAAGATATTTTCAGAATGATTGACATAAAGTAAAGGCGGGAAAATAATTATGCTTTTGAATTATTTTGAATGGAGAATCATCGTCCTTACACGTGGGCCAGTTTTGCTATTTATTTGGTACCAAAAAACATTTAATGGGAGAGAGGAATATGCTTTTGCAGTGGGATAGCTATTACAGTGACATTGTTTCTGGTATTTTGTTTCATCCCTCCTTTTCTGTCTTTTTTTTTTTGGTTAATTCTATTGTTATACAATGTTGTACTCCTTAAAAGAGTATCACAAGAATTACGGGCAGCTTACTCAAATGTGTGTAGATCGTTTTTTGACGTAGCAAATAAGACTTTGGGAAGAGAGCCGTCAGTCAGCTCCGGTGAAGTTTGTTCCGGTGTACGAGGAGTAGAGAAAAAAAATGTCAAAGTTAAGATGTCTGAACATAAGGGTTAGCAGGGGGAAGAGAATTTGCAGAATTTGTAAGATAAAAGATTTTAAGTGTTTTATCAAAAATGGAATGAGTACTAAGAAACCAGTATCGGACTCCTCTTGCGTACCGGAGGTCAAGGACTTCGGTGGCCATTGGATATAAGTGTAGTTACCGTAGTCGTGTACCTTTTAAGGCGGCGTATGTACGCAGACGGTATGTTCAGAATATTCCCTGATATATTAAGAAGATCAAGAGGGGAGTAAGGAAGTTGCAACTGTACGATGAACAATTAAGAGACGTTAAATTTGATAATAAAGGTGTGACGAGATTACTTAATGGTATTGAGTTGGGTAATAAAAGATATGACCGTCAATCAGACAAGATCGTGGTTAAGGGTATAAAATTAATTGGGAATGTTCATTTGGGACAAGATGCTAAAGACGAAACTGTGGTCCACTATGTATTGTTTTTCGTCATAAGTGATAATAGTCCGTCGATTCCGTCTCCACACCTGACAAGATATTTATTGGAGTTGGCAAGGGTAATCTTAAAACTTGGATTGTTGATCCTGACCAGTCCGATAGGTTTCGGATGCCAAAGAAAATGAGATTCAAGCTCATTGGTGGCAAGGACAAAGAGCACGTTCGTCACGGAATAGAAGTTTGTAAACCGATTTTTCCCAGTTGATGTTTGGACGGACTACAAAGATACACTGTTGGGAAATATTGAAGGTATTCAGAAGGGTGTCATATATTTAGTGGCTACTACTGTTAGTGGGAAAGAATGCAAAATTACGTTAAGAAGTCAAATGTATTTTAAAACTGTTTAGAATTTTAATTTTATGTGTTTTTATTTGTAATGTTTAGGTGAATGGAGGTGGACGATATAAAAACTAGTGTTGTTGAAGGTGTTTCAACAAGTGATTTTAGTTGTATTGAACTTGCTTTACTTAATTTATTTTCTTAGTTGAGGTTGAGATACAAAGAAAAAAGTATTAGGGTTGATAAAATATTGATAAAATATTCCCCATTTGCGCATCCTATGCCAGTGGGTTGGTCAGAGTAAATGTGTACGATAAGAGGTTAGATGGTAATGACAGTTTGCAGTTGTATTTTATTTTCCCTGTGGATTGTCAATGCGAGTTAGTGTATTATGGGAATAGTTAATGTTCAATTAACGACAAACAGGTGTCATAGATGGTGAAGTATCAACTTGAAAATTCGAATATTAAAAAGAGGATTACGTATTGTAAAATGAATGGGTATTTGAAGTATTCTATGAGTGACATGCTAGGAGATTCGCAAATGAGGGCCCCATCTATTGTTGTGTTATCTAAATAATATACTCATGATAATGTTTATGTTTGGCACTGTGCTCCAACCAAGGCCATTCCGATTCTGACCTGAACAATGTTTGTGGGTTTACCGGAGAGGCAAATAGATTTGTTGTTAGGAGGTTTTGGAGAAAGTGGTTCAGTTATTCATGAACACAGAGGTCGTTTGAGATTGATGTACGTAGAGGTGGTGATGGAACTAGTGATGCTAATCTTGGTCTGCCAATTTTGGGAGGTTAGTATTAGAAAAGAAGAAGTTGATCGGAGAGGATTAGTTGTTATGGATCCCATAGAATTTTCTGATATTTTACGAAATGTAATAATGAGTGTAAAAAATAATGATGAGAGTCAAGATGTAATAATTGATGATAAGGGAAATGTAATAAATAAATAAAAGTTTGAGTGATTTCCTAAATAAAATTAATAAATTTTTTCATTAATCATGACAATGGTTACGTTTACATCAAATCGTTCTCTCATTTTTGGGGACATTGTATCTAACCAACTACTGTCCCCATTAGTTAATATAATACAAACAATTCCTCCTCTAATAGTAAGATCTGGTTGGAATTTAACAAATACATGGAAGTCACTTTGGCAACCTACTAAATTTTTCATTAGTTCGGAAGGGACTGTTGAGTATTTGATGTCGTTTATGATGTTGTAGACAGCATCTTGATCGTAGTCTGATGGGTCGTTGAACACACCAAAATTAAATACTAAACTATACCAAATTCTATCAGAATAATGGCAAGTCCAGGTATCGATCCACAGGGACTATTGTGAAATTAAACTAATTTAATTGTTAAATTCCTAAATTAATTTTGATAAAAAGATTGAATGATCATAACCTAATTTAATTAACAAATAAATTAAACTGAGGAATTAAATTATCAATAGGGAAAGTCAACGCACGTGCGGGAAAAGTCAACTCTGCCAAATTCTGTCTTTTTGCTCATTTTATGCTCCGACGATGTACAACCTGATTGACACTCAACACACATAAAATATACAGTTTGACCAACAAGTGAAGTTAAAAGATTCTAATTAATGGCTTCAATGATGTACATTTCGGCCTTAATCACATCCC